CGAACCCGATCACTGTAATTTCGTTTTGCACGACGAACGGCGCATCGACAACGTTTCCAATTTTATTATTGTTGTTACAAAATGCTACGAATACCCACGGTAAAATTTATCCTCGGTTACCGAGTATAACGAGACACCGAGAATTGGAAATTAAAGAGGGATCTCTCGAGACACGAGAGGTTGTCGGCTTACCTTGAGATAGGACCCGTAATACTTGGTGACGTATGGGCTGTCGCATTGGGACAGCACCATGATCTCCTGCTGTATATCTTCGATCTCATCCTCCGCCTCCTCGAGATCGATGATCTTGATGGCGACAACCTGCTGGGTCCTATTGTCGATGCCTTTGAACACCTCTCCGAAACTACCCTTCCCAATTCGTTCTTGTTTCGTGAATATCAGCTCGGGGTCCACCTTCTGCGAACAGATACCAAATTATCTCCCTTCGGATGAAAATTCGGATGAAAAGGTAACGACGATTGGGGGAGGAAAAGGGGTGGAAGGGACTTGGCAAAGCTCTCCGCGATTTGCCGCGCTTTTTGCCAAATTTCGCGGGGATGTTACAACGGCTAAAGTTTGAACGGATTTTACAGAGAAAGCCTGGCAATAAGCGTTTTACCAAATTTCGTTCAACGACTCGAAACCGCAATCGTCACGGCCCCTTTTTGGACAAACTTTTCAAACGAAAATCCGCCCCGATAGAACTTTTACGGAATTGAAAGAAGTCGCGTCTACTCGATTCTTCGTATCTTCTACATCGCGCGATGTTATATTAAATGTGGAAAAAAAACATTGGTCGAGCGGCCAATACGATATTCCAAGCATTCTTTCGCACCTTCCAAGTGTTGAAACAATCGTAAAGCGTGAAGAGAGAACAGCCTCGGGATAGAATTACGACGAGCGTCAATCCTCGTTACGAGGAGGAATCAAAGATTCAGAGGAGAAGATCCATCCACGTGGGACTTTCTTTCCAACCGCACGTCCTTCGAAAGTCGAAGAATGCAGCCACGTCTGTGAGAAATGCAGTTCTCCTTGGCTCCTTTCTAACCGATGACACGTGATGTCATAGCGGATAGCAAGAGAAATGCGGCGTATCGACTGACTAACTAATCCGTTGATTCGATTTGACATCACTCGTAATCTCTCGTAGAAAAACCTCGAAACTCTCGATCGACTAATCGAAATAATCAACGCGATGTCGAAGAAGGAAAGATCACGAGAAGAGAGAAAAAAAAAATAGATAGGGAAGGGACAATTTTGTAAAAGCGCGAGAATAAAATCGATATCCAGGAAAATTCATCGGGGCGTTTGAAACGCTCTCTCGACTGTGGCGTGGACCACACAGTGTGAGAAAATTTGCAAAGCAGATTTTCCGCATTTTACCGGCCGTCTACCACGCATTTTATACCGCTCTTTGCCCACCCCCTCCCTCTCTCTATCTTCAATCCGGTCTCTATGATGCGAGCTTTTTATCTACGTGACTTTCCACGCGCGCGCCTTTCGCAAACACATCGAATGGATTCTAAAAAAAAAGAGAAAAGAGGGAGGGGAAAAATAGAAAAGAACGACGTCTGTTTATCGCCGCTTTCATCTCGACCAAATTTTTCTCGTTCGTTCGGAACAAACGCGGGCCACGCATTCGCTTTAATTTCCACGCGGATCTGTCGTCGAAATTTAGGCTGGAGCAAGAAAGCGTTCGTTTTCCAATCACGCTTCCAACGTTAACATCTTGCAACGAAATTAATCGCCACTTCGAAGAGAGGTAACGAAAGTAGACAGAAAGAAGAGAAGAAAGAGAGAGATAAAGAGAGAACCAATTGCTTGCGAATCATGGAGGAGGAAAAGAAGGGGAGGGGTGGAAAAAAAGAATAAGTAGTTTCGACCAAGTTTGAAACGGCCTCGATTTCTTGCCTTATTTTTTTTTTCCTCGGCGTAAACCGCTGTCGTTACGGCGATTAGAGCCGGCTGTTACTCGCCAGTTTCCCAGTGTCAAGAAAGAGAGATGAAAAACTCTGGAGGAGGCGGGGAATGGGGGAGAAAGGATGGAAAATCGGTTGTACACGGTGTTTCACGGACGACCGGCCACGGAACACGAACGATAAAGAGACAAATTGCGTCCGTGTGACGTTGCTCCGCGCGATAAAGTCGAGAAGAAGGCCGCGTCTTAGCTCCTTTTCCCTGTCTGATTGCCGACTGCATGAAACTCACGACACGAATTATAATTAACGAACGTCAACGACACAGAGAGCCGGCAGTGGTGGTTGAAGCACAAGGGAAACTGAACATCGTCGCTCCGACGAAGAGATCTTCTGCTGCAACGATTCTTCTTGATTTTCTACACATCTTAGCTCCTTAGATGGTATAATTGAAAGATCCAGAGTTTCGAAATCAAAATTGATTCGTTCGATTTTTCATTTTTTTTTTTTATTATCAATCGTGAAATATATCCATTGGAAATCTGATTCGCCTTTCGAGGGAAAATTCAAGTGGTGTCACCGTCACAAATTTTTCCCTTTCGCGATTTTCATGTGTCGTCAATGAAGGAAGATCTTCTTCAAAAGATAAACTCGAATATATCGAATACTTCGTTTCCTTTATTTACGACTGATACTTATTTCTTGGATTCCCCTTGCTCACTTTTCGGAAGAAAAGAACACGATCGAACATTTCACCTTCTTTATTTCCTCGTTATTTTATTTTCGAAGTTTCTTGCAGGCATAAGTAATTAAAGGCATAACGCTTTTTATTACCCGCTGGGATTAATAAAGCAGTTGAACGATCCAACTTTTTATTATTTTTTATTATCACATATGCATTTTCTCCGACTTCGATCGAGCAATAAACCGCCTCGTTTTACATTATTTCTCAAGGCGCGCGTAAAAAAAAAAAAAAAAAAAAAATACGAGAATTGTCGTAAATCAAATCGTCGCGCGTTTCCAAGAAGAAACGAGAAAGATATCGGTGAAGAAATTCGTAAGACACGTCTGTCTGTCACCCCTCGAGCTGATAAGGGTCGAGACGCGCCCCGGGCAGTGAATTACACCGATGCGTGGTCAGACAATTAGCGAGAAAGTTGGCGCGGAGCGCCGCGTCTGTTGTTTCCCCAACTCGGTGATGCTGTTACGTACACTCCACTCTGCTCTCACAGCAGACCAGAAATTCTGATGGGCAAGTTATCCACCCCCGAAACTGAATTATCCAACAACCTCGTGTTAAAAGGGGTTACGCCTCGTATCGTTGCCAACCCGGTTACAACCCGCTCGCTCCGCGTTATATAATTGACGTAGCGATACCGACCTCCGTGTAAAATTAACGTTTCCACAACGCACCATATATTATTATGCGATAGAAACACTTCCACGCATACATATCTCTTTCTCTCGAAAGTTTCACGAGGAAAAATTGTCGATCGAGGTGGAACGAAAAATTTGTGCAAAACCGAGGAGAAAAAAGAAGAATTCGCAGGAAACGAATCAAGAGAATGTACAATCGAGACACACACACACACACAAGAAAAATGACACGTCCGTGTTAAGTTTTGAATATCGAACAAGCGAAATATATATATAATCCCTCGAAACGAAGAAACCAACCTTCTTGCCAACTTCCTTACGCTGCCTCTTGCGGACTTTCGCAACGTTTACAAGTCTATTTTAACGACCCGGAGCTATCCGTCGTCTTGTCGATTCACGGCTTCCAAACTGCTTCGTCTTAAGAAACTAGCGCTTAAAATCGATGAGTAACCTTCCGTTATTTTCCGCTTGACAAATCGTCACACCATACGGATTACTTATCATTCCAATTTCACCACGACAAATTTGCGCAGCGAGATTTCATGCAAGATTCGCGCAGTGCGTTGCAGTTTCGAAGGGGGGATTCGTTTAGTTTATTTACCCCAGGCACAGGAGGGGGAGGGTAAACGTTTTTCGGCCGACTAAACACCCAGGCAACCGGGCGAAATTAATGCTCGAGGTGCGACGAGACGATAGCGGATGCGGGGAGGGAACGGGTTGGTATTTGGGCCTGACACAGCGAGCGTTCCAGGGTCAATCAGCAGAGTCAACATCGGCAATAATAGAACGGGCAAACAAAATCTGGCGCCACGGGATTACAATGTGTGTAACCAGACCTCGGATACGAAGACGCAACCGGGTTGAAACTCGACCCGGTTACGGAGTTGAAAATCTCATCGATCGTTTCTACCAACGTCTCGAGAAAAGGCAAACTTCTTTTTCCCGCGATCGATTATCGATCATCCTTTTTTTTAACGAGTTCTGAACGAGCCACTTGGAGTAGGAGAGGAGATCGTCGTCGCGAGGGAAAGTCAGAGTTTCGTTTGCGCGACTCTTCGTCGAAACGAGACGTAACGACCCGATGAAAAGGGACCACCGACCTTTAATCTTCGCCCAGGAGAAAGGTGAGGAGATCGGTTCCGTGCCCGGTCAGACAGACGAACGAGCCGCGCGATCAGAGCGATATTTTTAATCGCGCCCTTGTCCCGTCGATCGATCTCCTCTTTTCCTTCGTTATTTTTCACTTTTTTTCAAAGTATCGAGAAAATCTCGATGTCAGATCTTTCCCACGGATAACGATAATAATAGACGCGTGGCGCGATAATAAACGAGACACTCTTGGAAGCTACGCGCCCCGATCGAATCGAAATACTGGGACAATCCTGTTTGTGAAAAGAAAAAGAAAAAGAAGGAAAGGGTGAGGAAGAAGAGGAAGAAGAGCAGGAGGAAGAAAAAATTCGTGTTAATTCCTCGAAGCGACGCACAGTGGCAAAAGTGGACCAAGACGATTTTCTAACGGGGTCGTTAGGTAATTGTGGAAGATTTCTGCGACGGTTGGCACGGCCGTTACAACGGCATTTCCATAAAAATCCAATTTACGATCGTCGGAGGGGAGGGGAACGGGTCGGTGGGAAAGATTGTGGACGAGAGGAGGCTCGGCCGCCTTCAACGGCACAACTTCAACGGTGTTCGAAAGTAGTTCAACGAGCGTGCGTTAGCGCCATGTGTCGTTCGACCTCGTTTGTTGCGAGAGTAATTTATCGCGGGAGAGGGAGGTGAAAAATTAAAGTTTTTAAACGGCGTTTTCAGGGTTCGACCGAGTGATTCCGAGCGTGGCTGGCCGGAACGACGGGAAGACGGTGTTGTCTTCCCGTC